ACACATTTGAACTCTTCCAATTCAAAGGTTGGTAAAGTTCATTATAACATTTCAGGGGTGCATGTTATTCAATATACTTACTGAAGAGCTATCCCATCCTCCCAATCTTTGGTGAAGTTGTTGATTTCCAAGTCTGGGATAGCCAGGCGGAACCAGTTCAGCATGAGCTTTTTTGGTGGGGACTTGGTTTTGCGATTTGAAATCTGGTAGCGCACGATGAGATGCCATATTAGACCAAGGATGAGTTTAAGATTGCCGTTTACGACGTCCTCGTTACCTGTAAACAATAACGTCAAAACTTCAGCAGATGTTAAAAGATAAAACAGAAACAAATGTACCACTGTTTAATACACAAGGGCATTAAGTTAACGTACAGTAGATAAAAAAAATATACAAAACTGAGACATTAATACAAAATATAACACGAAATAATAACCTACCCGACTATACATGTCCTATTCTTGCAGTCCATTTACGTGTAGTGTATAGTAGTATATAAGGAGACACTTTAATTTTATGGAATTAATGGACCACCGACGCAAACTCAACATGCGTCATTTCCGGATCGAATTGATCATATTAGGCGAATGATGTCCGGAATATAAAACAATTTACAATATACTAATTATATTTCATATAAAAACTGCAACAGGAAACCTGCGTTTTGTGAAACCCGATGCAACCCAAAACACACGTATGAGATCTATCTGGGTGTCAGACAAGACAGGTAAAATACGAAGGTTTCTCTAAAGGGTTACGTCAGCTGGAATATGAGGTTTTGCATATTAATGAAAACTTAGACAGACGCACATCATCTGATTGGCTGGTAACTTTAGGTGCATTGTTCGTTACGCTTGGTTGTTTAACATTGACGAGAGCAAAGTAAAATGGCATAGTGGTCATAAGATTCGTTATTCAAACATGTATTAACCTGCTATAGCATTAGGTGAAGAAAGTTTGTTTTTTTAAGTGAATAATATCTTAGATGTGCATTTAGCTTCATATTTCAAACTTTTGTAGCTCCAACATTTTCCCCTCCCTCCAACATCATCGATATTTTAGTTTATGTAATCAAAAACAATATTTTTCGGTGTAGAAAAATGTATTACCTTTCCATTTAAACGATCGCTACCTCAACCAAGACAAAGGGAATCTTAACGATGAAAATAAACCAACAGATTTTTTTTATATTTTTTATATATTATGACTTTATTTATTATCTAATAAAGTATTTAAAAAGTGATAAAGCTGTGTGTCTTATATTTGAACGTTTAACTGTCACAGCAAAATATCGGGTCAATGATGAGCTGGTCGGGTTTTTTTTCTGTTAACCTCCGACGTGTCCCCCCAGATACATCTGATATAAGCCTGTTGTTAAATTAGTTTGACCGGAAGGGATACCATTCTACCGTGTAAAGGTTATGATATTTCAGTGACGTCATCGTCCATGGACACCATCCTCATATATCCGTAGTTGTTACAAGGATAAAAACTCGCTATCAAACACTTCTGCTGTTGATAGATCTGGTGTGTGTTTAATATGCTTCTTAATGCAAACATAGTACGTTCGTTGTTTACTAGTTCGAGATAGTACGATAATAAATCAAAAGATTTACGGCACGACTCTAAAGTTCGACTGTCAAGTAGTTTCTCGGAATAGCTGGCGACGTACACTATTTGTACAGAACGTGTTGAGTGGCTATATCTCTTGGCTTAAGCAAGAAATACTACATTTTATCACGATCGAATGTGTTGTCCCACTTTGCACATTACCAGGAAGTTTAAAACAAAGCTTTCGGTTTGATATCTATTATATATTTAATCATATTAAAATATAGGGGATTTAAAAATTCAATATTTAATGATAGACTTTCCTTACTGCTTGTACCACCATTTTGATAGAATATTTCTGTTTCGCCTCTTACACGTAATTTTAGTAAAATCTATACATTGGCGAAAGCAGCAATATTATAGATTTTTGCGATAACAAACAAATACATGTAACTTTTAGTAAAACCGACATTTCTATTGCAAAATCAACAATTATACAGATTTTCTAGATAATGAACAATTTATGACAGGTGACTACGTATATATGAAAAAGCTTCACAGCATGCCCGTTTATTAGATGATTATTTGCATATATTATCTTATTTTTTTCGTTTTTATTAAGGTACTGATTTATGTGTTGAATTGGTGAAGCAATTTTT